AGTTACTCCAACCGTGGTACTCGGCGAAGGAGAAATGAGTTAATGTCAGTAACTTTCTTTTCTGACAATCTCTGAGATTTAAGAGGCTTGGTGGGCTTTTCGTACGACTCAGAAACAGCACTGGAAATACAACACGCAATGCAGTAGTTTTCTCTTAGCAATGGTTTCGTTGAAGAGAGATATTCTCAGAGGTTTTTCGTGCTTGCCAGGATTGATGTTGGTGTGATCTTCCCAAGACCTTTCCGCTCGGACCGAACGTACAGCAGACTGAAACTTTGTCAAAGTTACATCGCTCGAGACGGATGAGTCACGGTGATCGTCCCGCGACTTTTTCCGTTTCACTGGAACTGACGTGTGAAGAAAAAATATTTGTTTCAAATGAGTCTACTTACTTCCTTTTTCAGTGACCCAGCGAACCAATGATGAAGGAAAAGCTTAGTTGGAAAGGTTGAGGGAAATCTTAGCTGATCCACAATTTTCCCGAACCAAGTCAAAAGGAAAACCACGCAGTTTGCGCAAAAATTTCGAAAAATTGTCGAATAAAAGTGAATCTGAATTTCAGAAACATTCCTTTTTCCACACGGAGACCTTCCTTAGGAATCGCACGCAGCTTTTGCATCGCCACAGTACGACACTCACGCAAAACTTTCACACGCCCCGATCGCTGTGAAAATTCAAAATGTTCACTTCATTTTTTTGAACTCAGGAATACTTGTAGCTCAAAGAATGTAGGAATTAGCAAATAAATAATTTAGTTCGTAATTCTAAAGCCGATTTCGTTTCAGGATAATTTCGGAGAGAATCGGTTGGATAATGTTAAGGTACACAACAATGCATAAATACTGTACGTCGGTGGACTCCCTCGCCCACTTTTTATTTTTTCAACATGATTTTCGCACAGCAAAACATTTTGCTGGTCCTGTCAGATCCCATGTCGATGTACGGTATCAACTTTCAATTTGTATTGGTATTCACTAAACGACGATTCATAGTTTGGTTGCCACTATATAGCTTATACAAATGCAGAGCTGTAGCATGATCAAGAATGATGGAGTCCACTAATAATTTAGGATTTTACTTCACAGTACTGGAAACTATGACCAAATTTTGGTTGCGAATGTGTTGTCCTTATTTTCGAAAATATATGATAATAATAAATTTAGTTTTACGATTTCTGAAACAATTTTGAACTTTCTGCCGAATATATTTCGCGATATTATTCATAAAATATAGAACCACGCAGGAAAGGGAAGGAAATGCATTGCTATTGAAGCCTCTAAGTCTAAGCCATCGAGGTAAAATAATTTACTTCATTATTACACCTGTGTAAGTTCAACAGGGTACGTATATCAAGAAGAAAAAAACGGATGAGGAAAACTTAATCCACGCTTTTGTTTCGTTTCTTTTCAGAGGCAACTTTCGCTTTTTCGTGTTGGGGAAAAATTATGGTCTTCCCAAAAATCAGCGAACGATAAACACTTCTGATGGAGGTCAGCAATCATCATTTTATAGTTCTCCTGCTCGAAGCAACGAAGAATATGTCAGCATTTAAGAACAAAATTACGTAACTTATTATATCGGTACAATATTTTTTTTGTAAATGTTGAATTTATTTATGAACTGGAAAAAATCTTTAGAAAGTGTACCACAGCAAGTTTTTAATCAGCGTGAGTTATTTTGATTGGAAACCTTTCACAGCCAGGTCGAACGAAAGTCCTATGGTCACCCACGCGATGCGAGGAGGTTTCGAGAAAATTGGTGACTCAAAATTCGTTGGTTACGTTTGGACACTAACGTGGCGACGGAAGAACCACGAAAAAAAATGACATAGAGGTGTCGAAAACAATTGAAAATTAATGAGTAAAATGACAGACGAAGAGCGGAAACCGGTCAAGACTCCTAATTGTCCCCTGGAATATGTGTTAACTGATGAACCCGACGCCTACGCCAGACGGACGAGTTTACTCGATACTGAATAACTGATTTAGAGCAATAAAGAATCGCTGTGTTCGTCAGGAATGGGGGCGAAGGCGGGCGTGAACAGGACGGAAGTGTGACACGGATCCGAGCGCGAATTCCCTTCTTCACTCGTCGTTACTCCGAGAATCCCAACGGTGTTATCCCGAAACTCCGGCGCAATGAAAATGGGACACACGACGCTGTCGTAAGGTCATGAATTTAGTCGTTTGTGTGTCTGAGTGTGAGCCATAAATAACCCTGAACAGTAACACTTTATATAAGCTCCACGACACACCTACTGTACTGTACCATGCTTTAAGCACGGCATGCGACGTTGAATACGGTACCATGCGAGAAGAACACTGTCGTTTTATGCGTTCTGATAAAAGACCGTAGTTCATCAGATAGAAAAGCAACCCAAGAGTATTGCTTGAAATATTTCATCTCCGACCAAAAATATGATTGATCACTCATAATGTTTTGTGAATGAACGCTGATTGAACTGTAGTACAGAAAACAACGCGACGGTATGATTTTTCGATCAATTGTCCGTGCGCTATTTTTCCGAAAATTAAATGATGCTAGCGCACTACTGTAGTGTATATTTTGATATTTTTCTTTGAAAAATCTAGGCAATATAGGGCTTATTTGTAGGCCCAGTAAATGATTGTAGCGTTTTTTTTTTACGCGATGAACCGGACAATTTTGGTCGAATTTTCTCTCATCACGAAGAAAGAACTATACTGTAGATGGATAATTAGGATTATATTTTCGCTAAGCCGGGCATTAATGATCCACCAACTCTGGAGAACTAAATTAGCTCGAATTTCGTGTGCTGAATATTGTAACTACTATTCGGAGGGCCAGCGCTTCAAAATGATTTTATTCAAATTTATTTAGGGCTTTTGGCAGGTTACATACATCACACTGAATAATTTGCATAGAAATTGCGCACAGGATTTTTCAGAACTGCTTGCATTTGCATGCAGTTTAATGATAAGCAGGATTATCAGGAAAACGATGTACAGTAATGTACTGTAATATTGATTCAAGCACGGTAGAAGCAGAAGGGTTCGAGGTAGTCAACACGACGAACTATTCGCTGGGAAACTTGGCCCAGATCACCAGGTTTCGACTTGAAAATATTCCGCCGACCTAGGGACAAGGTCATTGCTTGTTTTCAATGGGATGACCTTAGGAGCGGATTGAGAGGTCTTCGGCATGGTGATGAGCAACGACCTCTGCGCAAGATCGCCGGATTCGAAACTGCATTCTTTGCTCGGAAAATGACAGGATCGCAGTTCATCTCGCTTCCAACAGCTCCTCGATCTGTGCAGACGCACCAGGGGGAGCAGTAGGGAATGGCCAACGCTGTGCAGTATATACGGTACAGCAGTACAGTATATAGGAGCACGATCATTTGGAGCTTTGTATGGATTACAGTACTGTATAGTTAATACTGTACACTGTACAGTACAGTATCTTCTTCCAACACGGCATATCGGTATGCATTGAAGATCTCGACTGATCACAATTGACAAAAATTCGTTCTGTGACAATCAAACGTGATTTGGTAACCTTCCGAACGCTTCACACTAACTGAAGATAAATCACGATAAGGAGCCAAAACCCTTCCGGTTGTCCAAATATTGTAATCCGGTTTGATGTGGATGCTTGAATACCTAAATAAATTGTACGGTATTTATGCAGCAAATGAAAAAAATTTGAAGACATGAACAAATTTCTTCAAATCTTGAAACCCATCAGCGTGGATAACTAATTCATAAATAAAAAAGAAGTGAAAAAACACACGTTGAGATTACGGATTTCGATGCACGCGGGCCAATTTGATTTCTCTGCATAAACCTAACTTTGGGTACAGCTACTTGGATGCCCAGATTATTGGAGTTCTGCTGCATCAGAAGCTTGCAGAAAATATATTTTGTGGGTCATATCCTGCTAAGTGCAGAGGGTGGAGCTGGAAGGATGTTCTGAAGAAGAAAACAAAATCATGTTTTTTATGGATGATCCAATGCAATTCACGGGTAATTGAGGTCGTACTGGACTGGAAAATTGCGTGCACTTCTGTAAATTCTCTGGGGCGGACTCGGTTCGAATCGCGTAACTACGTTCAGATCGCTGATGAAATCTTGGCTCAATGCTGCGCACAAATTGCATTACTCGTTCGGAAATCTAAAAACAAAATTAAATGAAATGTATCAAATCCCGCTATTCGGTACAGTACCGAGCAAAGTAACTTCGAAAGTGGAACGGCTGCAATGGCATTGGCGAACTTACGAGTGGCATGGTTTTATTCCATTTCCGCTGACAGACCACCAGCAAACGCCATTTTTCATCGAGGGTGAGCGACGCAAATCGCTTTCGTAAACGTCGGCATGGCCGACAAATATTTGACGAGTCAAGTTCGACGGATTGGATTTTGTCAATACAGTAGAAAGTGCATATAGTGGTCGTTCGACATCACGTTGTGCGAAAACACCTGCCAAACATCAAGCGAACTCTACAGCGACTTCCTTCTGCAAGCTTCTTCGGCGAAATAGGGTACATTGCGCGAGGGTTTTCTCAATAGTTCTGCCAGTTTTTGTTGTTTTCCATGGAATTCTTCGAGTCTGGCACTTCAAAACAACTGCGTGACCGATTAAAATGAAGCCTCTACATTTTCTAATAAAATGATCTCAATTGCATTTCAGACGTGGGCGACTTCTAGTTCACCGATCGAGACAATCCAGGGCAACCCACAGAATGACGAAGAAATCAACTGCGAAGATCAGAGCGTTTCATTATGAACTCGAGTTCATAATAAATTATGGCAGTCAAATCTGATGATCTCACGGTAATGGTGGACGCAGCGAACTTTTCCGTCTACTCAATGCGTCTGGGGAAACATTGAAGCAGCTAGAGCTGATAGATGAGTGAAGCATACGTTGGAGGAGAAAAATCCTACAAAACCAACCCTGGCGGACCCACGGCAGTGCATGCAGCAACATCATCCGAGAGACCAATAAGACACACGGGAACAGTTCCGGAGCAGATTTTTTCCTTTATTTCGGATCATTCAATCCGCGACCTCTTTAAAAATCCCTATACTTCTCTAAGAAATCTACATTTACAAAAATGTTTATCTTGCAGTTCTCGATTGACCAATGCAGCGGCGACATATTCCCTCGCCCAAAGAACAACATGCTCCGCAAGATCAAAACAATGAAAACAATTCAGCGTCTGTCTTTCCCTCATGTTTCGGAAATTCGAAGAGAACAGTCGAAAGTGAATTCCGATGCATCGATTTCATTACTCATAGAAGAGCAATGTTCAGAGCATTTTGAATGAAACCTGCATTCGAGGCAGGATAAAAATAAGTTTATCTTTAACCATCGGAAATGGACCGGCGGTGGTCATGGAAATGCATTTGATTCATAGCCTTTTTGAAACCAACCCCGACCACGCGTAATGCGAATAAGGCACTAAAGCTACGGTCGTCATAATTTGGGTCGGAATCAGCGGCTCAACAGCGATTCTGATCCCCGAAAATTCAATAACTCTCAATAACAGAACGCGAAATTATTGAATACTGCGACACAAACAAATTGGCGTCCAAAACTCGGGCTTTGGCAACAAGTCGTGTTGTTTATAGACAGCGCAATTCCCTCGAAATAAAAAAGACCTTCAAACCCAATCAAGCCCGGCTTAAATCAGAGCCACGAAAAAGGCCTACTTGTGCACCGAACAAAATAAAAAGGGCACTCTCACAATCTTTCAAAGCAAGCCTCATTTAAAACGCCCCCCAAATGACCTATGGATAAAATAGACCCACGACATCTCAAAAATCTCAGCAAACAGAGGCTTTCATAAAGCGGCTCTCTCTCTCTTTCTTTCTCCCCTTTCAACCTCGTATTGCTTCGAATTATCCCTTACTTTATCTCAGCGGATATTTGAATCGATTTTGTCGGAAGAACGCAAATTAGCCAACGCATCCACGAAAAAAAAAAGCGATCGAGCAAAAAAAAAAAGGAACCTCTGAACACCAAAACATTCGACAAATCCGTAGCAAAATCAAATACAAACAGTGGTACAGGCTGCTTCGTGAGATCATAAAAGAAATCTTGAGGCAGGAACAAAACCAAAAAAAAAAAAAAAAAAAAAAAAAAAAAAAAANAAAAAAAAAAAAAAAAAAAAAAAAAAAAAAAAAAAAAAAAAAAAAAAAAAAAAAAAAAAAAACGGATAGGAAACGAACGCGCGAGACGGACTGACGACAAGAAAAAGGCGAGTACAGTACAAATAAATATAATCCCTATCATACAAACATCGTCCATCACAGAGCAACAATTTAAAAATCCCCCGTCCAAACAAAATACAACGAAGAAGCGCACATTAACGGAGCCCACGGTGCTTCCGATTCTATCTGGCCTAGAGCAGAAAGATGCTCTTGCAACGCAACATCGGAAGGATGTGTTCGGGATACTTCGCAGAAGCGCTTTTTCCCCTTCGACTTCCCGAGAACGGTTTCTCGACCCAAAGCCTCAAGGCAAACATTTGTACTCTTTTTTTTTTCGCTTCAAGGAGAGCATTACGTCATTTTTGTTCAAGAAAATACGACAACTACAACAGCAAACGGAAATTTCTTGGAGCAAAATTTTAAAAACTGGTTTGTTCTCCAACAAAGAAAATCCTCGTCTATGAAAATCTTACAACAACGAAGACTTTCGACTTTTAGGACAGTTTATGAGAAATAGGGTAATTTTGAGAACTTCTGGATCCTCTGCGCGATGCCTCGAATCAGGCGAAAGAATGCTGCTGTCATTTGTTCAAAGGTTTATCAACGAAGAAAAAAAGGGTTGTGAATCTTCAAGATAGAAAGAGAGAAGCCGAATAAAATGCGAAGTAGCCCGAAAGGATCCTCGCCCGACGCCTAGCCTTGGCAAGCCTCCAAACGATTCCTCGGGGTGCCGAGGGGTCCTTTCCGTCACTGTCAACTCGCAGGCACCGCGGGTCCCCAGGAAACGTGGAAACGGAAAGTCATGCAGTGCACCCGCGAAATAAAGAAAAATCATACAAAACCAAACTTTCTGAGTCGCAAGCATCCCAGTTACAAAATTCCCACCTCAAAAATGAAGTCTATTCACTGCTTTCTCAGGAATGACGCAAGCTATCACAGACATATCGCATATCCAATAAAACGGGACCGCAAAATAATGCTTCGAAAACGGGGCGACGCAGTCGTCGACCAGCCAACGACGGCTGGAACATTTCAAACGTTTCCTCGAAGACGAAAAGTAGCGCCTCCCTACAGATAAATTTTCTTCACTTTCTGGATCGGCTTGTTGTCCGCGGCGGAGTTCGGGTTCTTGTTACTGTTGTTCTTGGGTGGGACGTTTATCACCAAGTTTATTGATTTGTTGTTCGAAGGTGGCATGTACGCAGCTTCCGGCATGCCTTGTGCTCCCATCGGCGGATCACTGGGGAACCTGCAACATTACCAAGAAAGGAATAAAATCTCCGTGCACACTCATTCGCACCCGCAAGGGGGTCCGGGATCAATCGGAGGCCACAAGGGAAAAAACCTTTCCCAGTCTTGCAAATGCGCCCCCATCAGCGGGAGACCGCTAAGACGAGGAGTGCATAACGCGTACATCAGCCGTTTTCAAGACATGATAAACGGCCCACGACGAGATAACTAACTACTCCCGTCGACGAGGAATAAACCATGTACTCGGCTCACGTTAGTTGCTCAAACACGGCCGTTCCCTCAACTGGCCTACTTCCATGATTTACATAGTTTCTATTCCTACGTCTAACACAAGCATTCACCGTAAGTTATATAGCTCGAATCGAATAAATTATTGTACTGTACAAGTATATACTTCGAGTACCACGCGCCCTCGAATAAGACGCGTTCTCATTTTTAGTGACCCAGAAACTGCTTTCTTTCTATGACAAGAACACCCAAAGTTGAATTCAGACAGGGATTGGTAATTTTTTTGGAAATAATTAAAAATTAGTTGAATTCAGGAAGTTTTTCTGTTCAAATTGGTCCACAATTATAAAATCAATTGTAATGCACACCTAAACTTCTGAAACTTTAAAAAATCCATACCCACCCATGACATGCACCCTCGTTTCCCTTCTCAATTTCCAGCGCATTTAGAAAGGCGGAAAATTTCGACGATAAAATTTCAAGGAAATGTACCATTTTGTGTTCTCTAACTAGTCAGATTTCTAGTTAACGTGAAAATTTGAGCAAAAATCAGGATATACGCAAGGGGTAACTCTGTACAGGTACCGTATATACAGTATATGAATAGTCAACGAGGAAGAAGATAGCCCGGAAATTCCAAATTTAAAAGAAACGCCGCTAATATTCCGTCCGGTCGACGCAAAACAAAATTTTCACTATTTTTCATTACCCGTGATTTCTAAATATCGGGTATAAAAAAGAGTTCGGTTATGATTCCGCCTTCATTGCACGTTATTCATAGCTGAGCTTATTCGCCAGTGATGTTGCAAGGTAAATTTGTCAAGGATGTTGATATAAAAAGTAAGCTGTCTCGACTTCGGGATACGGATGAAGATTGCTTTCCAGTTTTTCTGCAGGCGAGGAAACATGAACCACACTCCCCGTTGAAAAGGAATGCAAATACTGCGTTATCGGAAAGTCTCCCCGCCTGGAGAAAAAGGAAATCGAGGCCTCCCGGAATTAGTAGCGAGTCATCGCGTTAAAACGCGCGGGATCCGGCCCCATTCAATCCGAAAAGCAATGTCCATCCGAAGTTCCCCGGGCAGGCCAGGAAATTGGCTGCATTGATCCCGTGCTGGCAAGTTTCTAGGCGGGCACAAAGTAGCCCAGTCCTTTCAGGCCTGGACGCTATTCACAGAGGGAAGAAGAAATGGTCAAGTTGGTTCACAGCTCACCGGATGTCCGTGTAAGAGCCGTCGAGGTCGTCTGCTCGACACCGTCGGGAAAACATGTACCCGCTGCAGAAGCCGACGATCAGAGCAACGACAAACGCTGTTGTAACTGCAATCGCAAACGTCTCGGCGGAGTAAATCCGTGGACTGCCTCGAATGACCGGGGAACTCCCTACACAAAAAAACAGCAAGGAAAAAACATCATGACTGGGCTTTCTTCACGGGATTCCCCATCTGGAAGCAGGGCCAATGAAAATTTCCGATCCCGCCTGACGAGCACAGAAAATTTCGGGATAGAGGAAGTGATAAACCCCGCGTCTTTCTACGAAACCCCATCAGGTCACCCAGGCGTGAATGCCGATAACGAACCCACGCATTGTCCTGACGAGCAACCGCAGAAATCTCCCGGCTGACAGGAATATCAGGGCATTGCGTGTCCTAGCCCTCGAAAAGAAAGCACATAATGTCTCTATCAGCAGGAAATTGTCACCGAGCCCCTACTGAGACCTCATTCATACTTCATACGGCTGGGATAAAGAAAATGCCCGCATCTCACACAAAGCCGTGATGGGTTCCACGAGCCATACATTTCCGCGGGTTGCTTCGACAGTCTGCTCAGTTTCCGCGCTGCTCGATAAAATTACACCACGCTCCATTACCCGCTGCACACGGCCTTCATCGGAATTGAAATACAACAAGACTGCCGTCGGGTTTTCACGCCTCAAGAAATCGCACCAATTTACATCCCTGCCGTCGACTCTCATTTTCGGCAGCAGGTGCCGACACGCGCGGTAATCAAGACGGCTTGCGAGAATTTACATAACCTCATGTCTCCACGGCAAAGCGGGAAAATGAACCGAGATTCAATTGCGGTTCCGTTCCTCGGAGCAGGCTAAAGAGGCTTCCAGGAGTTATACCCCCGGGGTTCACGTGGGCTGAGAACTTCTCTCGGCTCTTGCCACTACAAAATAAAGGGCTGGGAAGTCGAATCGTCTCGTCCGCACCGCGAATGTTCCTTCTAGTTCTGCCCTTCCAAACGAGACCCAAGTGAATCAAAACGGTTGCTTTCTTTCCGCACGTCACAAAGCCGCGCGTAAATCCAGACCCGCAATTCAATGCTATCTTCCAAACGAGCCTCAAGTACTTCTCCCTTACCTAGCGAAAACGTCTCTTCTCTCGGCATAGCCAAAAGGGCTGCAGTAAAAGTTTCACTCGCTCACTGATTTTCCCGTCAATCGTGCAATTTTTTCAACTTCCGCATTTTCGAGGAGAGCCGTTCCAAATGTTAAATCTTCAACTTTTTTCACGTAATTAGTATCGCCAGCTCGATACACTATTCGATAGCCCTATTAAATGCAATATTTTCGTTCCAGGGAAAAATCAGCGCGAGATTTTGGCGTGGGAACACTTCGCACTTGGTGAAAGCAGGAAGAAAAACTGAACGCGAAAGAACAAAAATTTATGGCACGCATAAAACAAGAAGGAAAAAGAGAGCGAAGTATTCGAGTTTCTTTCCCCACTCGGAATACGCTATAGGGCTTCTTTTTATTTTCCGACCGACCCTCGAGCATTCGGCAGGCAGGAGGAAAAATACAAAAAGATATAAATCATTCGAAATCAAGGAAGAAGCAGGGAAGGAAGAAAACCTCGTGAAGGGGGGAGGAAAAATAATCACACCGAACGTCACGACGCGACGTTTTGAGGACACAGCGCGCGTACGAGTACCAGAATGGATGCCCGAATTAAAGTCGCGGAGACGCGTCGGATATTAAATGTAACACAGCGACGCAACACCTCTGCAGAAGAAAAAACTGTAGGAAGACAAACATTATGCAGTTTTCTTTGGCGAAAGGCGTCGTTCGGTTTAAGCAACAGCTTTTCGCGGCCGGAAATGCAGCTCTCTATTTTCACCGCCGGCGATTTACTCAAAAGATCATCTCTCGTCCAAACTCTCCCGCTAGAACATCAACTGGATCTAGAACATAAGGCTTCGAAGCTTGGGAAGAAAGACGTCGGAGAAATGCGAGGGTTGTTCCATAAGCGGTCTACTTTACAGTATTGTAGTAACTTAATTTCAGGTCATTATTCAACGGATTAAGATGGACGTTATTTTCCGATAATAATATTTGATATTTCATCGACTCATTCCACTTTGTTGTGCCCACTTCAGATAAGAGTTGAAAGTCTACCCTAACCAGGGAAAATCAATTTTATCCGCCAAATTTACACGTTGATGGCTTTTCAGAATGTCAAAGTGCTTCGAAATAAAAAAAAGTACTTTTTGGCGATTTCCGAAAACCGAAGATCCTGTACTAACGCAGATCACGGAATTTTTTGACTTTCCGAAGCTAAAGGAAGGTTGTCCTTCACATTTAGTCAACTGCGAGCAAAAAGTGCCCCGGTCGAGGTTGAATTTGAAGAAAATCCTCAGCAGATGCACACACGCTTGCCATGGACCCGACAGTGTTCTACTGTATTCTGACATCAAGAGATTGGAAAGCAAAGAACTTAATTTCAAGCTACTGCATTAACTTTTTGATGAACCCTCAGAAGTGGGCATTGCTTGCAACCGAGCTCACTCGCAACTTGTGGCAAACTGCTATAATTATTCCGCAACAAATGCGGCTGACGCAACGGGACTCTCAAAACGGAATTCTCAATAATGCATTCTGCATACGGCAAATGAACTCTTTTTGACTGCTAATCGGAAAACCGAAATGAACAGGAAAACTGGCCGTTGCGGGTAACGTTGAAAAATTACAACAACTGAAAGTTGGAATGCATTTAGAAATCGATTCAATACCGGACTTCACAGATACCCAACGAAGATCCAACAATCGCGAATGACAAGGAATCCGACTACGACGTTTATTCACGCCGTTGTCTGCCAGAAGCAGAGCCGATTCAAGAGGATTCACAAAATTATCCACGGCAGTCAGAAGCAGTTGCTGTCTTTCCTCCCCTCTCCAACGAATCTCGCCAGAACGGAAACCCCGGGAAGAAAGTGACAGAGAAAAGAACCAAGAAACGAACCTGCTTGCTCTTTGCCTTGGTAGTCGTACGGATTCCGGTCCTCGAGCGCACTCCCGCCGTCGGCGTAGACTCCGGAAGACGAAACTGGCCGAGTGTTCCCTGAGAACGAAATAATCCGCCGTGAAAATCTCATCCATGAGACGACATCGCAAGGAAATGTTATGACAGGCGTCAGTCCACGTCCACAAGCAGCGCGAACCTAGTCCCGAGAGCCACTCGTGACAAGGGGGCAACCAGGAAAGCTCCTTGCTCTCAAGCCCTGTTGTCTCCTCCCTTTTTCATCGAAACGGCGCTAATCTGTTCTAGCTCCCGTTTCGGGAGACCTTCCGCGGATGCTCCTGACAACCAGGCCGGCGAAATATATCCGCCGGGGGCCCCGCACGTCATCAACAACTGCGGAAGCTCCGTCCGCGGATAACGAAGAAAGCGCCATTTTGTCGCTGCTGGCCATAAGTCGCAGCCATAACTTTTCCATTTCATTCGCTCCCCTTCCCCCTGACGCCCACCCCCAGGACGGCTTCCGGCCGACAAGAAAGGAAGAAAAATAAAACTACGCCAGAAGGTCCGAATCGAAAACTACGTCAGTTCGGAAGGTGAAAAGGAAAAATATCGTGGGAGTAAGAACCATCAGGTGGAAAATGGCATCGCGGCGATCGCAACGGATTGCGTCCCCGTAGCGAGAAAATCCGACGTTATATGTGATGTTATGTTATATCGGCAGTGAAATGCCCAATCCGGAGGAAATCAGAGCAGGAGGTAAAAACAAAACTCACCCGTTGCGGCGGAAGAAGCTTCCGTGCTCGCATGGGAAGCAAATTCATGTCCAGACCCTACACGCAGCAGCATGTAAGAAAAACGAGAGAAAATAAGAAGCGAGGAAATGGCGTGCAGGCTCCGTCGAGGACACACAGCAAATCGGGCGACCAGCACGGAAACCGTTTTCCACAAGCCAACACCAACGCGGGCAGAGTGAAATTTTCTATCCCCTCGTCTTGATTAGAATCCGAAGAGCAGGGCGTTGTTGAATTAGCAATCTTTTCCGCCACGGGCAGGCTTTTGTCGGAAGGTTGGGGAGAAGGGGACAGCGCGGAAGACCCGTCACGACATGCGTACGCGCAGATATGTACACGCGCTCAACAGCATGCAAGAAACTGATGCATCAATACAGCAACGTGCACATCGCTCAAGCCCTCCTTTGTTTTCGGCTCCCGCTCATCCCATTTCATTTCCCCGAGATGCATGCTCATGCCGCGTCTTGAAATTACAGCCCGGTCCGGCGGTAATTTCGAGCCCCGGTCGGCGCGTGCCTGCGGCCACGGATTTTCGTCCATCATCCCCCCCCAGTGTCCGTGGAGTCGATCGAGCAATGAACTGCGTTCGGCATTAAAAAACGGCGAAGACGTCAGCGGAATCCCTCAACACCGTCAGGGCCGTTCCTTCTGTGCCCAGTTCCCGACCCACAGGCGCCCGCCGACACATTATCGCGGATGGGCCCGTGACGACTCAAGACAAAGCGGGTTCATGAAGACCCGCCAGTCGCATTCAGACTAGAGTTGGACCATTCTCCGCTCTTATTTTCTTTCTCATTTTCCGTCTTACTGCCTTTCATGTCCCCTCGAAATCTGACACTGTTTTTAAGGTGGTACCTCGCGAGAAGATCGTCGGAAGTCGAGAAACCTTTAATCCATGAAATAAAAGTAAAATCCAAGGCGACGTGCATGTCGCAAGTGAGTCTTTTGCACGTGGAAACTATCTTTGCGGGAGAAAGTCGAGACTTGCGATGAGATTTTCGCATGGTAAAGTCGGCCGCGGAAGACTCGCCTCACGATTCGTTCTACTCGCGACGTACCACCACTGTACTCCCACATTTTTGGCACACATGAAAAACTAAAAAGCGAACTTTCGCACAAGGGAATAGAAACTTCGGATTTTGGAGAACTAGAGAAAAAACTCGGCGGGGGATGATCACAAATGCCAGTGGTTCTGAACATATGCTCTACGATCGAATGATCATTTGCATCAAAGACAAGATAGAGTATATAGAGCGAGATGCACAGTATTAAATTCAAGAACTAATGAAAACTTCGTTTTTTTTTCTTTCAAAAAATGTGACATTACGTTGAGATGCCCGTCATTGGATCTGATACTGAGAAGGGCTAAGTCAAACAATTTGCGGCATTTTAAGAAGAGCCCTGCGAGTCACCACTATTGAGAAACACCACATCATAGAATTTCAACATTTCTGCTTTGAAGGGCCCTTCCAACAGTCGATTTACACATTATAGCCCTTTCAAAATCTAACGTATACGGCAGAACCCCATATAGCCAAGATCATTTCTATAAGAGTTCTTCACACTCCGAACGATTTTTTATTTACTTTGAAATGTTATAACTCTCCGTCGTCGAAATTTTCGCATTATGGTTCATACCGTACGCACTACAACAGTCCTCATATATTATTTGCGGGCTCTACTTCATCATATCTTGCATTTTCTTCAAGAGCGGCTGAGGAACCCCTGGGGCTCCGCAAAACACAGGTGAGACTCTCCATCAGGGGATAGGATACAACCGCAGAAATAACAAACTAAACCAAAAGTGTAAGTAGGTATAACCCCATTTTCTTCCCCGTTTGGTGCATTTGGAAACCGCATGCTCACGAAGGATCAAGCATTACAACTTAAAAGGGCAGCATAAAAAGCAAGAGGAATACCTCAGCAGTGTTATTTAGACAAAGAGAAAAACTTCGGCACATTTTTGCAAACGGAGACGCTGGATAGAACGTTAGCGCAAAAAGCTTCCTCTCGACTCTCGCTCGGAACTAGCCATGCATTCCGAATGCGAAAGCAGGGCCATGAAAGCCTCAATGTCTATTTCAAATAGGTCAAGGAAAAAACCAGAACATTTCGAAATTCTCCGGACATTCTGCTCATGGTTTGCAAATGCTTGTCTACGGATATTATTCTGCTTCATTGAGCTATTTTTTCACAATACGCCATCAGGTTTGGTTTGAATTATTTCGAAAATTAAGAAATCGGAACTACATCAAAATGCTCCGAACATCGATACATGCATCGTCCATGGCACCAAATTTTTGTACATGCAATGATGATGTAATCGTACAGTAGTGACTTTTTTGCCGAAATCATTTTCACACTTGCTTCAACTTCCTTAATAAATCACTGGTAACATAAGGTTGATTTGCACAAGTTCGTAACGCTTTTTCATTTTTATTTGAACTTATGGTCACCTAACAGCAGGTGGAAGATCAATCTTCTATAGTAACCATTTTATTCAATGCCATTGGTTGAACATATACATAAAGAAGTAGTCAGCATTTTTTTCATTCCGATTTTCAAGAAAGCTCCAATACATTACTGTTTTCATTTTGGACCCACCGTTTCTGAACTTAAGTAGACCTCAGACTAAGATAAATGCATCCGTTAACATATTTAGTGAAACGCGTTCTCTTATATTGAGGACTTCGAAAATCGCATTCGAGGCGCAAGCAGGATTTCAAAATAGCGATGACGTGAGAGCGGCTATTCCGCACAACACCATTCTTTACGCATAATTCACGTCTCATAGCAACTTTCCAGATCATCGTCTCGAATTTCAGACTAAGCAGAGGTAAATTTAAAAATCAGCATAAGAGATGGTGAACGGATGGCTCCGAAAACTGAGTAGATCTTCCCCATTCATACGTGATGCTCATGCATATTACAGCGATAATGACCGTGGTTTCTGGAGCCGTGCATGCTGGATCGACGTCGCAAGCCATTCAACACATAAAGGCTACAATTATTTTTCATATGGGGCCTACAAAGCCACGAGAATCCGACATGGTCAATTGCGCAGCTATGCTTTCAGTAGAAAATAAAAATGCTCTGCTCCCGGTATAACGCTTCGGCGCACCGAATACCAATGAGAGGAGATAATGACGACAGGTGGTCATGCACTCGAGGTACTCACCGTAATCTGGACACGAGGGAGATTCGCCTTTGGAAACTTTCTGAATGAAGCCACCTTCGGCGTCGGTAATCTGACTGCAGCGGTTCGCTTTGGAGTTCCAGCCGCAATAAGGGTCTTGAAGGGCGACACAGGCACTGTAATTGGAGCGAGATGAACCCGATTAGCGTTTTGCGCGGTATTCAGAAACACAAGACTCGATTCCGGGCAACTTTTGAGGCTGATGAGGCGAAACAACTTCGTCTCCGGCCTCTTTGTTCTCTAAGAATATTCCGCCTCCCGGCAGTACTCTGCGCATTTACGTTAAACCTGCGGCGATATTCGGGAGAAGCTCGAATTCCTGACGATCCACTTTGCTTTTTTTCTAGACCGTCTCAGTACTCGCCGAAACTTGCAATCAAGAGGGATGAACCGGTCGAGGGATTGCTTCGCATTTGATAGGGCAAAGAAAAGGGTAGCAACAGAAGGGATAGATCAAAAACTTCAATCACCTGCAGGTTGCGGCTTTATAACACCGCTGGATCGGAAGCGAAACGAGTTCGTCGTCAGAAATGACGACTATGTTTTGAAGGTCTGGAGACCCTCGTCCGGACTTGTCACCGACAAGATGTAAGTTCGTCACTGGCTTGCCACGCTGGAACACCTGAATGTCCTCAATGACAACAGGATTCACCTCTTTTCGTGTCTCGTAGGCCAACGAATTGACGACTTTCAGCAATCGACCATCGTCTATAAACAGCAATACAACCAATTTAAATTTCCCGACTACAGTAATACCCATTTTTACCAAGACAATGTACACTTATAGAATAACCGCCTGATCTATCAACCAGAAAAGCTACTGACTTCTTTCCTCGATGCCCGCGAGGACATGAGTTTTTATAATCCAAAAATCCTTCAAGTACTTCATGGGGATGAATAATGAACTAGTAGGAAGCGGCTTGATGAATGAATACGAGTTTTAGGGAAATTTCTTCCATCTTTATTGACACCGGCGTCCGTCAGAAACCTACGGAGCTGCATTCACGTCTAAATGTAAATTATAATTCCCAATAATGGCGACGTCCCATAACTATTCAAGAAACCAGTACTCGAACTCCTTCGTGCATTGTGAAAATACGAGAGCAGTATTTTTAATAGTATACTTAAAACTGGGAATGACGAAGATCACAACGGCCATCATCACATTGCTGACGTTCAATAACACAGAATTGTTGCTAAGATGCCAAGATTTACGCTACTCAATGATTTAAAAAGACACTATCGACAAAACCGAACAGAATGAACAAGATTATTTTTAAAACAAAAAATGTGGCCTGTGGACGAATCATGACAGGCGTTGCATTCATCTGCAAACTCAATTACAGTAGTTACTGCTCTAGTCTAGAACGTTTATAAGTTATGGTACTCTCGCTCCTTCCTCCAAGATGAAAATCACTTCGTCGTAAAGCGAACAAGTTAATTTTTTTTACTTCATTACTACATGTAGTGCTTCATCCCTGAAATCGTAAGTTCTATCTGACAAATTCAAGGAAGAGCAGAGTTTTGAAGGATTGTTTGAGGAAGGGGTGGGGGATACTGAAATAAAAAAGGCATTTTTTTTATCGAATTTCAAGAAAACTTCTTCCCAAAAACAAAAATAAATCTTTCCTGGAAATCCGAGACCACCAAGAAACTGTTCGATAATTTCTGGCAATTACACGTACGGTATCGAAGCCAATTTAAGATACAGTACTACATGCCGCATCAAGTTCATTCGGTTTCATTTCGTACTTTAACTACACAATCGCAGTATATGATTCAGGGTAGATCACAAGTTCTCAACAGAAACTGCACAGTTTTATTGAGGGTCTGACTGAGATTTATCTGATTATTCTAGGGGCTCCAAGGCCGGGTTCAGAATTTGTAAGAGAGTAGAATTAAATTCAGAAAAAATGGTACCGTAGGAAAATTCGTAATAGAATCAATTTTGGTGTTCGTACGTGAAGGATGATGTCATACTCTCAATAATTTCCGCAGGAAAAAGTTATGAATAATACGCCTGTAACTCAAGATCAGCATCACCATTCCGGAAAACGATTCCGCACCATAGAAAACTTATAAAAAAAAAACGAGGGGCTCCACGAGTCAAGAAGATTGAGGACCTCTGGGTCACGCATTACCTTGCAGACAAAAGGGGAACAATTTGAGAGAGTTGCATATAACTTCAAAGACAGAGGTCAGATGATTTCGTCGGGAAACGTTGACGAAATCACGGTTTCGACAGAATCTGTAAGGGAGGTATTCACCTGTTCCGATGAACAAAACGTCGTAGGCGCGTCCATCGGTCGTCCTCACTTGCGGGTCGACCGCAATCTTGGTGAATCTGTACTTGGTCTTGGGGCTGCGGTGAGAAAAAAAAAGAGAGGAAAGTGCATGAGGTGAGGGCGGAGATGAGAATGAAACAATCGCGCACGAAAGGGGCGTCAGCGCGATGAAAAATCCTCGTGAATATCTACAATTACAGATCATGATTTGAGAGCACCTCGGGTCAAGGACGCACGCGACGAATGGTTTCCCTCGACTTCGCTCCAACAATGAGACCGCATCTTCCTGCCTATCCATCTCGTGTTTCGATTTCACTGAGGCGGGCATCGGCACGGTTTCGTTGCCGCAATCCACCCCCGTTATTCCTCACAAAAACCCAAAGGAGTGACGCAACCCCCGATAATTGTCCTGATTAATACTGGCAGGAACCTGTCCAGGAACAGCATCTGGAAACCATGTTCCTTGATTTCCCCGCGGACTACCGCGTTTTCAAGAGAACGTTCCTCGGATCCGCTTCTCCATCACTCCGTACCAAGGAAAGCTATCGAATTAATGGCATCGCCTATGATCTTGATCCAACTTGTACCTTATCCAGCAAAGCATTTAATCCGGAAAATCTGCGAGAAGAACGTCCTCTCGTCCCAGTGTAGCCCGCAGGGAGGAATCAAGTTCAAGGTCCAGGGGCTCGTTTCTACTGCGAGTCTCTGCAATTTTCTTTGTCACTCGCCAATTGGCATCCACCAGCGGTTTGCTACACGGATACAGGTCTAAAATTACTGCAGAAGATGATCAGGTGCAACGCAGCTACAATGCACCGCACCCCGCATATGAACTTGCTGATGGTCAGCGATCAACAATCCATTTGTCCGAGAATGCCCGGGGCAAATTCAAGATACGGACCGTATCTTAAATGCTGAATCCACAGAAGAATCCCGTGAATAAAATGGGGCACAAAGCATGACGTGGAATGAACAGGTATCTTGATTTCCACGTTGAATGAGTGGCATCTCAAGGGCGTGAGTTTCATTTAACTGAGCTTCAGGAGTGATCAATTCTAAACTTCGACGTTCAGCGCGTGAACCAGAACATCGATACCAATGACAAGCGGACCAAGTTGTTCCTATTCGGTTAATTAATTAAATTATATCAAAATTCAAGCGTGAAACAGGTTCGGACACTTCCTCGATAACTTCAAGTCACTTCGTAGAATCATCAGTTGATAAGCGTGAAGCTACGTCTTGCGTCACAAGGAGCTTCTCTCGCGACCGAGTGGCTCCTGAGCACTTCCCGGTCGACGGCGATTGATCAATCTCGGAAGCTGAGTGTTTTTTTTTTTTTCATTCCAGGCTCCCGCGAACACTTCTCATGCTTGAGACTGTACAGAAGCTGCAGTGAGTATCCCAATTATCGAGCCTCGATACGATTCATTCATCGGACACGAAAAAAGGCTTTTAAATATAATCTCGATGACTGGGAGTTGGGCGATGAAACCGTATCACATAACGGAGCTGCCTTTGAGAAGCTCGAGTTCTCACCGTCACACGCTCTGATTTGTTCGACAGCAGAATTCCAGAATACCCGGGCTTCGAGTGACCGTGCCTAAATTTCAATCGTACTTTCAGGTCGAGAAGCTCAATCTTCTTCTGATCATCTTATTATTTGGGTTAATGACCTTCATATTTAAATTTTCTCGTTCATGACATAACGGTATGTTTTTCAAATACAGTACTTAATTCGATCAACTATTTAACAGATACTGCATCACTGTTATCGTACAAGCTCTCGAAAATGTTTTGCAATGCCTCCTCAAGCTAAAGGCGTAATAACAGACAGTGATGCTTCGAACAATGAATCTGATAGGTTCGTTGCTCAAGATACAGTTTCCCACAGGAATTTCGTATGCACGGGTACAAGTTTAATCCGTTCTTAAAAAATGAAACTCACATTGCACAAGAACGACGCTTGCTATTGAGACAACTCCCAACTTAAAAAGGGACACATCCATAAGGTCTTTTTTCAACACAGAATTTTGGGGAATTCGTTGAAATTATTTTAAGGCGGAATTCAGGATAATGTATCCATTTGTCCACCATAATTATCTTCACTATTGCCACCCACATTCGTGTCACATTAAAATGTATTGCTGTATTGTGCCATCATCTGTGTCTGTATCTAGAGTATTCCTTAAACTTCCACGATTTTTTCATTTTTTTTTATTTGCATTGTACCGTATCGTGTTTCTCGTGCAATTCGAATTCAATTCATCCTGATCATTCCAGCTCCTCTCAACTGACGCAACGGCCATTCAAGAGTCTTCGTATCCTTAATCCGTCGTTGGTTTAGCTTTACTTCGGATTTTTCGCTTTCTTCCAGTCGAATCTTCGTTCACGTTATTCGAAAATTTGTTACTGTCGTTGTTCAGGGACCACTTGCTTTTGAGCTCACCTCGAGGAAATGGGTATCCGAGTCAACACCCGAACAGGTAACACCAGTGATACTCGTAACATGGTTGAAAATTTCTGAACTACGGGATACGGGTTTTCCGTGATGAGCGAACGTAGGAATACTACGATGTCGAGACAAATAACCGTACCGCAGTATAAGAAGAGGTTACAAAGGGCTGCTGCAGATCTAAACGTAGTTCCAACGTCGGTGTGAGTTCTTCGAGGAGGAAAAATTGCGGGAAATTAACTTTCTCTAGCTCTCTGACGCAATTCGTGAACGCGGTTTCGCGGTTTTGAAAACAGAAGTACGTCTAGGACGAAGCGTCATGGTGGAATCGCGTGCCCGGTCCGCAGGGTCTCTTTTCGCGACTCTGCGTCGGTGACACTCATTTCTGCCCCATTAGATTCCGCCATTTCCAGCCAGCAGCGAAAGGAAATTATGCGCCGCGTCGTAATGAGCAGCAGCAGTGGGAAAACAACGCCCTTTGGATTTCCAGACAGGCGAAATTCCAAGTAAGAAAAGTCACCCATTTCCTAGTAATCTACTACGCACGCCAAAAGAAAAAAAGCAGGGATAAACAGAAGCTTTCCCTTTTTGGCGGGATTCGGAATCCGCAAAATACCACAAGAAGAAGCCGTTGCAGGTGCAGCCAACACGACGGGCCAGGATGACAAGGAAGAGAGAAGGGCAAAAAGAGGAACTCACTCGAACGACGTGCGGATGAAAACCGGCTGGGGGAAGAAATTCGGGACAGCCTCGTCCATGAGTGGGTGGTTTTTGACGAAATTCAGCGTGACGTCAGTTAGTGTTGTCGAGTTCTCGACGCACTGACCCGGTCGAGGCTCCGGCACGTTGACGGCTTTCACGGGTAGCCAGTTCGAATACGGCTTTTCCTGCTCTTTGAACGGGCCCGAAAACGTGTCCAGGATTGCTCTCATGTTGAAAGCGCACACCGCAGAGCCCCAGATAGAATTCGGGTCCGTGGTGAACGTCGCATATACGAGTTCTGCTTCTTCTTCGCCGTAGATCCCTTTCACGAGGTCGCTGGCGGACTCTGTACAAACGAAATTGTCATCCAGCTTTAATCAGCATTCTAGCAATGAAAGCAATTCTAGCTGTCATCAACGAGCCGAACCAACAGTCGCAAAGGTTTAAACAAGCTTTGGGCCAGGGCTTTTCAACTAGTAATACGTGAGATATTCCTAGGATGAACGTGCGTTTATGAATGAGTGGTACAATTGAAAAGTGAGTTTTGCAAATTGAAATACACGAAATTGATATAAATCGCGAAGCAGAAAAGAAACTAGAACAGTCGACTGCAATCCAGGGAAATCGACTCCATTTCGAGGTAATAGGAACCAAATGACTCAAAAATCACGGTAACTGAAGTAAAGTACTGTACAGTAAATGCTGCGAGGAAAATTTCAAGCAGCTATGAACCAAGCGGTCTTATATTTGAGTTGGCCATTATAGGGACGTGGAACTCATGGGGACTTCGCCAGGTTTTCAAAGATGTATAATCCAGAAGAAGGATGAAACGCCCAGCTTTGGACGGACCAAGCAGAGTTTTTTTCTTCATCGTAGCTTCGCCCACACCGATTACCTCAGTGGAGAAGTACTTGATGTTGTCAGGTACCAAACAAAATAAAACTTGCATTGCGCCTAATGTAAAATTGAAAATCTTCGACTCCATTGGCTTCCAATAACGGTTTTGAAAACCTATTTCTTCACACTATTCGTTCTCTCCGAAGTAAAGGGAAATAATCTTTCAACGCCACTTCTTGGGCATTTCCATTTCGGCTGACGACTGATGAGGAAAAATTCATCACACCATAAAGTTCGAAACGAAAAAATAAATCAACAAACGAAAGGGGTCCTTTCATCACCAAAACTCAGCACTGAACGCGTGACAAATAATGCACTTTCACAACGGAGGGTAATTTAAGAATTCCTGAGGAGCAATTTCATACGGCGATTTTGCTTCCTTTCGTAGTTCTGCAATTAGCTGCCTTTAAAATTCGCCAAGAGAAACTGGACCTCAAGTGCGATTTTGGTTTCAATTTGAGATTAAAATGACGTGACCTGAATGTTTGGTTAGGTTTGATCGACGACAAGAACATAAGAAGTAACACGGAAACGAAGAACACAATTTCGAAGAAGAAAAAAATAATAAAACAACGGGAGGTCAGACAAAATTTTCCACTCATTATAACGTGGTTCACAAACCGCATGCGCAAAAAGTGTTGAACTCAAAAAAAGCGAAAGATAGTTGCGGGCAACCTTTTCTGCATTCCTGTGCCATATTCCCTGTGCTGTATAGTCGATTCGCGAGCTACTTCATGCCATGAAAATGTCGTTTCCTGAATACTTCATCGGGCTTGCCAATAGTTGAAGCGAAAGAAAAACTATGCTCACACTGAACAAATAAAAATATATACCGCATATTTCCCACTTTTTTCAATTGGTACCTGTATAGGAATTGCAATAGACGGACAAAGCATATAAAAGAAGAAATAACGAATTGTGATTTAAAAGATAACTTCTACTGTATTTTTAAATTATCGTATCTGAATCAAAAGTGTGCCAGACGTGCATTTTCTGGAATTTTGTAAATCATTCACTTAGATCAACTAGCAAATCTCCATTCTTTTCAGTTCGAGAAGTGGAAAAATGAAAGTAATTTGCAAAATCGATCGAACCTTTTAGTAGCATGAACGTAGTAAAACAATGGCGGCCCGGGACAAGAGGAAAAATGAGAGCAGTTATTCGACGCTTGAAACTGAACAATCAGTTCTCACAAAAAGTATCGGATGTTCCCGACGGTACAGTGTTCCTTAGAAACTCAGTGCATGCTTTCAGTTCGTGGAACACTGATGACGGACTAGCGTGATTCAGAAATTTTCTCAATTTTCGAACTATTATTCTAGATTTATTTTTCACGATCACGAAAGTCAATGCGTGAAGAATAAAATGAACGATTTTTTCATCATCATGAAGAAGCTCGAGGTACTGCAGGTATCTTTTATAGAATCCATGATTTTGTTACAGCAGTCTCCAGCATAGAATCTATTCGCAGACGATATTCGCACATGAAGTCACGAGGCGACTACACACATCTGAGGAGCGATTCCGGCATTACGATGCGAAACAGCTTTTCTCTCTTATAGGACGGGATACGCATACCATACCATGTACGAGAAAACAAGAAAAAAAACCGCAACAGAAGGGTATCTAAGGTTCCACTCATTGCATCTCATTGCTGGGATTCAAAATGATACCGCAAGGCATTCAATGTTTCAACTCCCCTCGAGCACGCGTGCGACCCGAGGCTAACTTACGCCAGCCAGTGCACCGCGATCCCAGACGCAAGGCATTTGTGAAGGAAAAGAGGTTAAAAAAGAGAAAACGCGACGAAGATGGGGCGGAAAAAATATTCGGAGACCCGCTAACGGAGATCCGTCATCCTGACGAAGCCCCGGAGCTTCGATTATGCCAGCACGGGTTTCCCCTTCGGCAAAGGTTGAGGAAAAAAGCTCTCCAGCGTGGGCGAGTTGTTCACGCGATTTTCCAGAAAACCAGTTGGGCTTTCCAACGAGCATCCACAAGATTTTTTCTTTCCCCTCCCCCGGCCGCATCCCAAGAAAGTTTCCCAGTTGGCTTTGTTCGCCGGGCTCCGAGTTCAATGTTATCGACTGCTGCAGAGACGAGATGAAAACCAGCGCTGGAAACACAGATCTCTGCTCGGGGGCATGTGCGAGGCTAACTTCAGCACGAACACGTTCCCAGTCGGCGTGTTCTGGTGTAACGGACAGAGCAACTTCTCTAAACCCGTCTTCCTCGAGGTTCAACGCTTATCCCTCATAACCTCGCGAATACATCGAGGATACCACGAAAATTATTCGCTCAGATTCCATACACAATCGACGTCCTTCGGCAACAGGAGAAAAGCACTCAGGCAAATATCACGACCACCGGAAAAGCAGGAATGAAAATTCAAATTATAAAACCCACATATTTAAATTTGACTCTGTGTAATTACGTCGTTACATCATTTTGTCAAAGCGCAGTGAGACTCTCGAGGGGATGAAACCCAATTACAATATATTGAACAAAAATAAGATGGTACAAGCGACAATTCATTTTTTTATTGCGCCATTGGGTCAAGTCGTTAAGTTATTATGCGGGGTGCTTTTCTCATGACCTGCGTCATTCTTTCCACTGCACCCACAGCTTACGTCAGGAAGTTAACTCGTGAAGTTATTCCTACCGCAGCAGTTTTCTTTTTCCAACGGCGAGACTGGTTGAACTAATTTAGTACAGTACTTGTAATTTTTCGAGACCCTAATAAAAGACATGTACATGTACAGTATCTGATTTTCTTGATGATCCTGAGCTGGCCTCGAGCGGGAGATATACAAACGCGAAAGTATTTCCAAATCCCAATACACCACCTCCAAGCTTACATGAAGATACAACAGTTCCAAGTAGAATTCCGGTAGCTGACTCCGGAACGGACCTCGAGAAAAGTTCTGACAAGTGAGCCATCTGCGAAGGGACATTTAATCCCAACGATTCCAGCTAGTTTCAGTAACCCAACGGAAACAGCAGCAGTCGCAATATAGTTTCTAGATAATGAGCATCCCGTGAAACTATTGCGATGGTACTTCGTACGTAATAGCATCCGCGGAACTTATCGCAACTTCGATTCCCTATATCGGGTCGACCTTCGAGCATGCGGCCGGTCCGGGAAATCGTGTCTTTCCGGGACCAGCAACATTTTCAGTTCGTCGCTCATCAAAAGAGAAAGAAATGGATGAGAAGCAACAAGACTCTGGTACATGCACCACCGATAGCCTTACTGGATGTATTGTTATTTTTCGTGAAGCATCTTGATGATTATTAAAAATTTTATAAGTAGATTTACGCATGAAGTACTTTTCTATCGTCAGGAATGCCCTCAATGTGGTATTGCAGTAATTCGTGCGCCTATAAACTTTGGTACTGTCTTTATGGCAATTATGCAATATCAGTATAGCATGGACAATCTTTCAAGTCTACCTTCGTCCTTTCCCTGCAGATTCTTGAAATACCACCTGCTTTCAACTCACCCTAGCCTGAAAAAAGTGTCATCCTTTAAAAGGCGGTAAACTGATTCGAAAAAATTACTCGGTTTTGCCTTCGTTTAGATTAAAAAAAAAAAAACTTGTCATCCTTGACGGCTTACAAAATACATGTATATGCAAAATTAACGTCTCAAAATCACGGTGAGGCGGATACAGCATTTGCACGTGGCCTCGGCCTACACTCAAGTAAAAACGGCATGATTTCCTGATTGTGCTTTCTGTATCTCGCGCTTGGTTGAAATGTATCGCACAGTATATAGAGCATTCCTCATACAAAACAGTTTCCTTTTAACAAGTGCCCTTCCAAGCCCACGCACGATATCAGAAAAAAGGGTGAGCTTTAAAACAGAGAAAAGTGGGATCCGTTGAGACAAATTTATCATGTGTGCTTTGCTCGTTCTCGCTTATTTTCATCTGCGTGATTTTCTCCAGTCGCAGATCAATATCTTGCTCGACACGTCACCGGATTCAGCAAAGTCGACTAACCTTGTTTGCACACTGCGAAAAACTCCAGCGAGGGTTGAGAAGGACGTTTCGGGATCGCCGCGCCATTCAACCCGGTGCCATTATCCGATATAGCGTTTCGGAACAATCCTAGGAACCACGAAGGGAAAACTGCCACTTTGGGACCCGGAATTTCCAGGGCAGCGATTTAGAGAGCGAGGGGAAAGCAGAGACAATATAAGGAAGTTCGAGAAGACGAATATATCGAGCCTCGCGAGATTAGCTCATCGCTGGAAATGTGGGGACCTCCGAATACGAGGAGGACCTCCGGTGCCTTTGAAGGTGCAGCACGCGGCGCCAAATCCCGATCGATCCCAAACCCCTTTTCCAAGGTGCGAGGGCGGATGTTATATTCCACAATTTCCCCCAGGCCTTTCTTTCCGACGCCGTCCTGTCGACTCCCCGTGGTCCCTGACGGGCACGGAAGCGTGAATTACTTCCGTCTCAACTTGGGCTCTACGCGGATGCCGCGAGGATTTCAAGTTAACCCGGATCTGGGATCTGAAGAGGGAAACAAAGAGGAAGTTCTCCACCGACGGGGTGGCGCAAACCGCATGGGCGGGGGCTTTCTCCGCGTGTTGTGCATTAAACCAGGCACCTATCGATTGCAATAAGATGCAGCGCAGAATATTTCTTCCATTTCCTGCGCGGACCCAGCGGGTTTGAAGAGCCTAATTTCTGTCCCCGCAGCGGCAGTAAATAAAACTAGGCGGGGAAATGCTAAGAAAGATTATTCGGCAGGCGGAAAAAGGCCCAACGGGATATGAACCAAGATATAACATAGATATTGCGCGGAGAAAAACGGAACGGGGATCAAAGGCAGAAAAAAAAAGTGATGGGAACCCGAGAGCGTCTCGGGTACAAGGCGATAACAGGTCGTCCTAGGTCATAAATCACCCGAACTCGAGAGAAGATAGGGCGCCTACCACGCATGCAGACTTTCAATATCTGCAAGATCCACGTCATTCACCGGATTTTCCTACCTTCGACGTGCCATCTCAGCGCTTCCTACCCGTTCCCGGTTTCGATCATCGTTTTTCAACTCCAGATCGCATCTTACAGTTCCACGGATGAAGCCAGCTGTCGCTATCTTCAGCCTCGACTATTCCAAGTCGAATTCCTTCGGCAATGCGCCGCAAAATAATGAATTCTCCATCACCAACCTTCCTCACACGCACTTAATCCAGGACTTTCCTAACTCGAACTGAAATATTATTGATGCATACATTTCACTGCAGTATGTAAATATACCGTAGTACAGTATTGCATTTCGCATTCAAGTACAATTCCCATGAAACCGGCACGGCTTCGGATTACTAAAACCCGAATTTCTCCGGCAATGCGACGGGAAATAATGTGTAGTATTCCGAGTCACCAACCTTCTTCACACACACACATTCAGGGCCACTTTGCTTACTAATGCCAAGAAGGCATAGAACAAAAGTTTCGCAACTGAATGCAAACATTCCTATTGAATTGCTACGAAACATGCACGAATTATTTGCTTTATACGAAACCAGCGACCCAAGTAGCATAGCAATAATCGGATCCTAGATGAAGGAATAAAACTGGCCCATTAAAGTAGAGTTTAGAAAAAAGGCTATAAATGTATAGTTAGGAGGTCAACATTTTTCAGAGACGGGTAGAACCGAAGCCAAATTCCTCAGCACGAAAACGTCAGAAGGTTTTCCTTTCTTGATTCGTTTTCCTTTTTCTTTTTTGCTCGTTTCTGCCGATGTCGTACACGCCAACACGAAAAGAGCATAACAAGATAAGCGGAAAAGCAGAAATACAACTCACGGATCTGATTGAAGTAGAACGGGAACTGGCCAGGCACGGAGCAATTCAATCTGGCCTTCGTGAAAGACGTCCACCTCTTCTGGAATGTGTGCGGGCCTCCACGGTCCTTTTTGCACACGCGACCGACCCTCGAGTAGACCGCCTGGATGAAATGGAACCGAAAATTCATTCCTGTCCAGATGCGCCGTATAAGACAGGCCGGTCGGATTCTAGCCCTGATACTAGGCCACTGTCTTGACGTGCCGCCCAAATATCCAGGATTTCCTCCACCAAGAATATTAATAGCTTCTCTACCCCAGTCTGTGGTTTCAATCCACATCAGGGGGAGCGACACGAAGCTTGCATACGAAATCGGACCAAGGGCATCCCGGGGTTGATCAAAAATCAAGATCCCGAGAAACCCTCTCAAAATCCGTAGCTAGCGATCGATCAAACATCAGTTCAACTAACCTTTCCGCAGTTCGTGTACTCGACGGCCATTTCTCGGAAGAAGAAAAACACGTAATCCTTGTATTCAAACGAGCTCACGAAGTTGGGTTCTGTGGACAAGAGGTAAAAGAAGGCGTCTCTGAATCAAAGCCGCTCCGCCATCCCATCACGCCGCCCGGAGCAAATCCCGGCAATAAACCCGCGAGGCGCGAAAATCGCCCCGTATTCACAACAAATATTTACGAGAGACACGGGCTCGCTTCACTGTGGACAACCCAATCAAGGCTACATTGCACGAAGCTCTCATGAGATAATAAAAAATAAATACGAGGTCACAAGATCGACTCGAGAGCACGAGGCAAATTATGGGCCGCAAGAGGCCCATCAATGGAGGTCCGAAAAGTGCGTCATATTTACCGGACGGAGCAAGAGAATTGATGGCTCAATTAAAGTGAGTCATTTTTAATCGACTCACACGGACATTAAATTACTTTCTCATGATCCATCAAAAATTCAAGCCTCTTTGGAATCGATTCTTCTTTCAGCAGCTAGACGTAATTTCCCGGACGAATCGAATGACGCATTTTTTCAGTCAAAACATTGAATTCGCCGAAGTATTCAAAAATAACTCACCGTTCAAATGCTTAAGGTCGTATTGCTCCGTTCGAACTCCGTCGCGGAAAATCCAAGCGTCCGTTCCGGAAAAATCCGCAGTAGTTGCGACGTACAGCTCACCGTCTATCACGTGCAAAGAAATGATTCACAGCCTCAGCATTAAAAAATATTTCGACATTCCCGATGAACATATAAATGCAGCGTTCAGACCAGCTATTTTACTTTTAAGAATAGAGCTATTTCTATCGTAGAGAAGAGTACTGTGCTGTCCTCAAACGCGAGGAAATGATGCAGTGGATTCCGCGTCCATAATGCATTTCACAGCATTGACAAAATAAATAATAAATGAGGGATTTCCTCAACGAATATATTCATACAATACACAAAAAGGGTTACGATGGAAGAAATAAAAAAATAATATCGTACAGTATACAGACTACTTAGACAAAAAGTCAGGCCTTCTCTCACTCACCCACAAAAAGAGCTGTGCTGTTGTGGACAGGATCGTAGGGACAAAGCCCCTGGGCAGAGGACGGCGCTTGGCCTTTGTACCGTCCATCAGACTGCAAAGCAACATCGAAAATACAATAAATAAATCAGTTCCAGTGATTTCTACAAATCGAAAAAGTATTGAGCCCGACGAAAAACGTTCACGCGAGTACACGATCCGTCAGCAGAACGATTCTCGAGCAGCCATTGCGAATCTGCGCCGTAATCGCGTACAGGCAAAGTAGTTTCTTCTTTAATTTCCGCAGATGGCTCAAGGACGGAGCATTGCACGCGATGCAACGCGTAAAAGCGGAATTCAAGCAGGTCGGCATTGATTAATTCACGACATGTGTCACTCAGACCGAATCGAAACATTCAGCAAAGGAACCGCCCCTAATTTCAAGGTACCCAAGGGGTTCCAGTTTCGCATATTTTCACCGTGCAATTGTATGCATATTCGACATAAGCCGCGGTCTTATCAAGCACATTTCCTGAGTCACGCAAGCCCTGCCTTAATAATCTTAATACTGTGCGACGTTCAAGAATTTACTCAACAGAAAAAACCGGGTAATTTCTTCATGCTTTACGCACGCTCTCGCAGGTTAAAAAAATGCAATACAGTATATGTAATTGTTTTGATCAATGCTCGGTACTTTTCCATCCAGTGAACCATCAAACGAACAGGAAATACAGAACCATTGAAGATTCGTCGCATCCGACATTAAACCAGTACTGTACCATTTTCATAATACTGTCCAGTATAAAAGGGAAGCACAGTTTTTCTGAACAGCATAAAATCAATCCACTTCCACACGCTTCCTGGAGACATTAGAAGCAGGAATCCGTCCCGAAGCGCTGCATGATTAAAGCTTGGATACATTATAACTAGAAAATACTTCACACTACAGTACCGTACTTCAATTGCTCCACGGTGCATCGTCCCATCAATCGGGGATCACCACAAGTAAGCAAGGTGATATAATTATCTCGGGTAATTAGAGAAAGCCTTCTTCCGGGGAAAATGAAGTGAAAGAAAAGCACGGATAATGGAACGTGACGAAAATGATTATTATGATCTCAACAATCGACCAGAGATCAACACTAAATAAACATAAATGGAACAATAGAAACATTTTAATGGTCAGGATAGTGAAAATAACAGCTGGTGACATAATCAAGAATCGAATAATGCTTATACGATAACATAGTTCTCAAGGGGCACTGTCAATCAAAGCTTAGATAACCTAATTTACATAGCATTGAAAAGTATCGAAAAATTAAGCTTCTGGGCTACTTGAATGCAGCAGTAAAATATAGAGGCTTGAGACATTTGCGAAGAGCCGGGTGGCAGAGTGAAAAAAAAGTAAATGAAGAAACAACCCAAGGAGTTCTGCTTAACGCACACTTGAACACATCCGAAGATCTCCCGAGTTATTTTTAGCGACGCACGAATGTTGCAGCTATTCATGCAGCACATCGACACGGCAGGTGTCGGGTGGTGGGATTTTGACAGCAACGACACCGTCACTGCGAGGGGGACCTTTAAATCATGCGGATTCCATAGCAGGTCGGGAAAAGAAAATCAGGGCTCCCGGGCGCACGAACCACTCGATTTCAGGCAGACCGGGCCGAAAAACATAATTCGGCATCGCGCAGGGGGTCGTCAGCAGCCTGCTCGTCAAAATCCACCCGGGACCTGGCACCGCGGGTTCGACGCGAAAAGAGCAGGATTTTCCCCCGGCGTCGCGAATGCCAAGTAGTTCCCGCACAACACTTGAACCAGACGTGAGACGCATTCCTCACTGCAGCAGACTTCCCACATCATCAACCCTAGTCGTTCCCCCGCCGCCGGGCACGACAAGTTTCCCCGACACACGACGCGCTCCATCAAACAAACCTATTTATTCGAATTACGGTCTCGGGTACACGCAGACAAACCATCCTCCCCCAGCTTTCTTATTTCTATAACACAGAAGTCGCGACATGGACCACGCCAGGCCAAGCACATCAGTCATTTGTCAACAGGCACGACCGCCAAATTTTCTCTAATGATGCAGATTCCATTCACCAAGTACCAGTACTACATCGTCAAGAGAGATCACTGACTGTATTGAAGATAAGCTAAACCTCAATACCAGAATTTTAATGATGTTCGAGTCTGTATCATTCTTATAGCCACCTGAATCCTCCAAGAAAATACGATATCAACAAATAAAACGGTGGCACCAGTAATTCGTGACATTTCGAATACTTTTTCGGTTGAACAACGCGACGCTGATCAAGAGATACTCCGGCATGCGGATCATGCACGCAACATCCGAGAATAATCGAAAAATAGTATGCAATTTTGATAAGGCATTCCGATTCCCGAGTGAATTTTCCGGCAATATAAAGATTTCTCGAACCCGATAAAACCTTCGACACCTTTTGTACAGAAATTCCCACCTGCTCAAAATCACCGAATACAGTATTAAACTGTACATTCTGGGGCGGATTTTTTCCAATTTAATGTACGACATATTTACATGAAAAATTAGACGTGATGTGTAGCCAACGGGTTGGAATACTTCACGAGAACCGGCTCTCAAAAGACACACACGTAAAGTGTCCTCAGCCACGCTCGTCCGGTCACATTATCCACCAGACTCACGCCCATTTTAGCGAACGGTATTAAATTCAACGGCACACGTACTGCTCATTAATTGTGAAATTGCCATTAAAAGCTGGGCTTAATTACAACGTAGCTGCCACCGCATTAGACAACTGCACTTGCTTTCCCGAGTCAAAATTAACGGTGCGCTAGCTGCTTCTACGTCGTGGAATAATTGTCACTTCATTCCTCGCAGTCACTGCGGCAAGAAAAATAAAATAGATACATCGAAGCGAGTATGCATTAAAACCTAATTTACATTCTGTACTACTCGCACGGAGAAACAAAAATTTAAAAATGCGTCAAATGAACCTTCTCTGGGGACTCCACCTTGACAAGTGACGGTGAGACACGCGCATCGGTCATTTGTCAGCCTGCTCACGCCAGCAGATTTGGCTAATGACGTGAGATCAGACGAGATCGGGGACTGAAATTGTAGCGTGGAATCCACCAAGTATTGATTTCACAAGGGTCACCACTTTGATTACATCAAAGAACGAGTTTTCATCATCGCAAGCTGAAATAAACGGTTAGCAGACGGATGAAAACTGTACTGAATTTTGGCGTACTTGTCAGTACGAGTACAGTGCCTAGAAAATGACTGCTGTAGCACAGTATAAATTAACGAACAAAAACTCAAGTTTCAGCTTAAATGGATTCCACAACTTCAAACGCTTGAAGTTTTTGATAACTTGATGAAGAATAGATACAAAACCCTACAAGTTCACGTACAAATCGGAATTTTATTCAACGTGAATTTGGATTCAAGCAATTTTTCCTACTTGGCATTAAGTCAGCGTTCATTATCTACGTACAGTATAATTATCTCACTAGAATTTACCGTCGAGTTATAATTAGCTATCTATTCGTAAAGTAGTTGGTTTGTGAGATCCTATTAAGCTAGAAAATGTCAACATATACATGCGAAAGCTATTCAAAGAATACTTCAATTGTGCAAAGAATCGAACGAATTACTTTCCGCGTTTATGCTGATACTATTGATTTGATTAAGTACTAATGACGTGCGAGATTATACGAATAAATTGCGTACTTCTGCAGCTTTCTCATTGCTGGATGGATAGATGATGAATAATTTTCATTCAATTAAATATTTAATACATTTTTTTTACCTGTGTTCAGTTTTCAATTAACTTTGGTTGAAGGGGATAAATCATGGAGACGTGAAGGTGCATATAATTTGAATGCTCAAATTACTTTCGAAGACAAACTTTTGTGCTTCATGAATTTGACTTGAAAAAGTAAATTTCAATATTTCTAATACTGTAATTTAAAATATAGAGTGAAAAATGTGCGCGATCCAACGACTACATCCCGCATAAAAATATGTTCCAATTCTCAGAGTTTCTAATGACGCCAAATGCTTGATACAGAGAATTTCAATTCGAGGGCAAGGAGTTGCCGAAGTCAGGGCCACAATTGAAAAAAAAAAACCCCAGAAACAGAACAGAAGGTTGCTCGAAGTCTTATTCTTGATACCACTGTGGTTTGGACTACTTGAAACGTATCTCCCTCTGAAACTTGTGCATCTGAAGGACTTCATTGCGAATGACAGAACTTTTTGAACACCGTTCTCATGGTATCAGAAAAACTCGGATACGGAATAAGTTGAACCAACCATGGAAAATTCGCGAAATACGATTTATTTTGCAAACGAATAAAACAGGATTATTCAACAATCCTTGAAAATGTAAAAATATGTACTGTAAGTACCGAATATCGAACTGAGCTGCAGATAACACGCGGGTTTCGAATTTAACCCCATCACAAACGATTATAACAAAGAAGGTTCGGTCGATCGCACGCTTGATGCTTGGTAAAACTCAAGTAATGAAGGAAGTGCGTGCGTTGACGGCGATTAAATCAAGATTTATGCGATAAAAGTTATTCAAGATGCTCGGTTAGAGCGTTCGAGACGCAGAAAAACGTCAACTACATCTCGAGTAGCAACCACAGTTCATCACGTGGACCACGTTTCCCGATCCATATCATTCGCAATTCCTCACACAGACACAGTACTCCGAGTCGGTTCAACCTTCACAAAGCAATCAGCAGTTCCCCAGCAACAGTTTTGATAGCTCTTCGGAAGCTGAGCGAATTGCCTCGACCTTGGCTGAGTTGCGGAAACCCAGACAAACACCTGGTGTTAAAATTTCAATCAAGACGGAATATGGCATTATGGCCCAAGGCTCGCCAAGGACTTCGCAGTGGCTGTTATAGTCACGGAACAAATTATAGCAGGTTTCGGAACCAGAAAAACGAAAATTTGAGTCAGTGCACCACAGGCTCGCTCAGGGCAGCCAAAGAGCTCGCGTGGGCGAAAAAGCCCGACGTTTACTCCCCGAGTCCCTGGTGCGGTCTCAAACAAAACGCAGGGCTGGTGCCCTAATTGAACCAAGCTGGTCATCGATCACACCGACCTGGCCTAGGGTACGTTACGCGACGAGATCTGTTCTCATACAGCGATGAATCAATGCATCTCGGTATCTACTCGTACATTTCCGGGCCCGGTGACCCAACATCCTGCAGGGGATTTGCTGGCGACACTAAAATGAGAGAGGGGACGAAACTTCTTCCACAAAGAATGAGGGGGGAAACCGCGTATGATGGAACGACACGAACAACGTCATCCCAAGTAAGGCTCAATTATTTTGGAGAAAAGAAAAAAAAAAAAAAAACAGTTAGAATCGGTGTTGACCACGGCGCACAAATGGGACCTTCATCTGAACAGAACGACGGCATCATTCGGGTTACTATTTCATTCCCAGCAGATGGCAACAAGGGCGACAATTCGTAAGACTACGAGGGCTCGTTCACGAGTTTTATCAAAAACTTGAATTAATGCATGGCTTCAAGGATTCAGTACAATGCTTTTCCTTGAATCGCTGCGTAAGTCAACCTCACTTTACCGCCGTCAAACGCCATTCGAATCCATTTCAACTACAGTACTGTAATTAATGTGCCAATCAAATAAATATTAGAAACTGAGATGCAAGTAATGTACTGTACTTCGGTTGCCCGGAAATCTGAGTCAAGATTCGCCTAAACCCTCGGGGATTATTCCAGAGACTTGTCGCAAGCAGTTTCTAAATTTCCTGATAACACATTTTTCTCTCTCAGAAATTGCAGCCCGGAAACGGGCACCCTCTTGGTAATTTTACATGTGCACCTCCACCTACACAGACGTTCCCTGGATAAAAGCATTTCCAAGACACACGGTTTTCAACATTATCCCTGAAGTAGCATTCGACTGGTTTCTTATTTGCTCCAATTTAGACCTCCCGGTAATCTATGAAATTGGCAAGTGGCTACGCTCGACAGGAACATAGTGTACTTTTTCTCTATATCAAAGTCGAGGGAAGCAAATCGAAAAAAGTAGTCAATAAATGATTGGAGTATTATTACAGATACACATTTTTACATCTCTTCTCTCCTTCGCGCATCTCCGAGGATGAAAGAGAAAGGCTATCACACTCACGATCTGGTCCTTGTAAATCGAAATGGCCTTTTTAAGTGTTTACAAACTGAAATGCAAGAGATCGGCATCAATTTTTTGGTTAAAATCGATCGTAATTTCTGCTTTATGTAAATAAAAAGGTACGTTAAGTACCGCGAATTCCGTGGCAGCCTCGGCGAACATCATAATTCAAAACGTTGAAAAGTACCGGCAGCAATTGAGAAGTGACAGAATTCTGCTGAGCGTGACATAAGACAAACATGCGTTAGCATTTTAATACGTCGATATACATCACCGAAGATAAAACTTGAGAATCGTAAAATGACGGAGATGCCACTCGAGAACGCTAGGCAATTCAAGTACGTTAAATAAAAGTTACGTCCTCTACGAAAGTACTACCGCCCAAATAGTCTTCCTAAACCACTTACGACAGCGGAACTGATTTACAAAGTCAGGGAAAGGAAGACTTATTTCGGTCTGCTCGCGTGCCGGTAGAACGCCGATTTCAATCACGCTCCAGCGCGCAGGAATTGTTCCGACCGCAGCGAAAGTTGTGGGGAAACCGAACAATTCACCCATGTTTCCAGAAATAGGGACATGGACTCACGCTAACATACTTCGTCGGATCCAATAACAGACTTTCCCCCGAAACGGCGAAATTGACCAGAGGAGCGCAGAGCTCGCAGCAGCTATGAATACAAACTAACGCATTCCGCCTCAGGTTGCTCTTTCCCCCCACAACCCCGGATCCTGCATCTTCACCCGAAGAGGTCAACACGCACTCGGAAAATCGTAAGTTCGATTGTATAAAGTCCGTAACAAAGGTTGCGCGAACGATCGATCGTCAAAACTCACCGCTATCACGTATTCTCGACACTGCGGCTTGAACGCATTCGTTCCGCAGACAAACAACTTGTTCTCCCGCTTCTTCGCCAAAACTCGGATGTAGTTCTGGCATTGCTCCTGCGAAAAGAATATACAGTAACATGTTTACACAACATTCCCAGCGGAAAACCATTCAAAGATACGGGACAACCCGGCAGCGTTCGAACATCAAGCCTGGGAGCGGGGACACAGAAAACAACCGTTTGGACGCCACTTAGCATGGGCTAATCCCGCGCAAGTTCCCGAGATAATCACTCTTGAGGCACGGATGGTACTGGATCAAAGATGTAATCACACATCCGGAAGGACGAAATGAGCATCGAATGTTCAAAAGGGAAGGGAAAAAAAAAACCAGAGCACGACAGGATCAGAGAACCCATGGGCGCAGCGGGAAAAGCAGTGGTTACGAAAGACCAGGGTAACGACAAATGATGCGCGGTGGGCAAAAGACGCCAGCGGAGAACATTCCAATCGCACGGGGGAAAGAAAAAAAGACACGTAGAGGTACAAAAAGGCATTATGAAAGCAGCGAATAGGGCCAAAAATGTGAAGATTCATCCGCCCCCGAGTCAAAAGAACGACTGAAGAAAAGAGGAATAGGAGAGGGGAAGTTGCACGTACCTCGGATTTTCCTTTGATTTGACACATATGTATGTCGTCCTCCTTCGAGTGCCATTCAATCCGCTGAAAAAAAAGGAGAGAAGACTCGGCATGAAACATCGGCCAATTCCTTCCACAACACTTGACGGAACGGGGTTTTTATTCATTCCTTGTCACGTGGCTTATTCACCGAAATGCCCTCTGCGCAGGACTAACGGCACATTTTCTCTCCCCTGACAGGGATTTATTATTCGCCATTAAGCGACAAAAGTAGTGCAAAACAAACCTGGTATCCGAACCCCGTGACCACCTGACCCGGGACATCCCCGATAAATCAATGACGAAAAAGAAAAGAATCATCATCTATTAATGAATCCTCCTCACCTATTTTATTTTTCCGCAAAAGCAACAAACTATCAAAACTTCCCAGAAACTGGCAGCTGCAGGGGAACTTAGTCGGTTAACGAGTATTTTCCGTCAGAAAACTTTTGTACATGAGACGGTCGGTCGATTTATCGTGACACACCGCCATTGAACAGAAAACAGGAATTATCAGGATTCGGCACGCCAGAAGTATCCTACATAAGATTCACGCTAGTTTTGAACTACAACATTCAATTCGTGCTGATTTGCATGATTCGACGCAGTTACGTACTCTTCTCGCTGTTCCGATAAAAAAATCCGAGCAAGAAAAAATGTGCACGGCATCGCGTGAAGCGCTGAAACCTGGCACCAGTGTGCGAACTCGAAATTTTGCTGAAGAAAATTGTTGCGCCACTTAATTTTTGGGTGCCTGAAAGAGAAAAAGTACAAAACAATTGACACTCACCGAGGTTTCCGACATGGTGCGAAGACTGATGTTGTACACCATATTCCTGCAAACGGAGAGATTCGTCAAAATGTAAAAGAGAGAACGTAAAGCTGGGTCGAATAAAACCAAGACTCACTTTGCACCGACGAGAACGTAATCGGCATCTTGTTCCAGCAAGCGGAAATAATCTTTCGACGTTTCGTTGCCGCGGAAACGCAATCCCTCGTTCATCACTGCGGGAAGATGCAAATGAAGAAGAGTTTTAAAAACCTTTCGAAACGTTAGATGACGCAATTTCTCGGCAGAGACGCAGTTATCAGCGATTTGACATCGACAAAATCGTTGACCTTTCGTCTGACGACATTTCGACAATCAGCAAATCAAAAAACATGAGCCAATTCCCGGGGGGGGGGGGGGGGGTGGACATGTCCACGCGAATGACCGAAAGAAAATACGCGAACCTCCTCAAGTCGTCAGATCGCTGACATTCCCATGCCGGGTACTTCCCGGGTCCCTTTCCTCACCACACAGATCAATCAAGTCTTCATTTGAATGACGACACATTGCGTCATCAGAGGGTAAGGTCAAGTGGGGAGTTTATCTTGCACCATTTCCCCCTCACCATCATCGTTCAATTGCCGACTCACGCTGTGAGAGCAATAAAAAATCTTCCCACAAGGGATGCCGCAAGATGGATATTTGAACACTGAAGTTTTAAGCTTTAAAAAAAAACGCCTTTACGCCTTCAATACATTAAATCTTCATGCAGCGCTGGATTACGACGCACTTTTTCCTCAGCCGATCAAGTTTTGCGAAACTCTCCTCGGTTTACTCGGGCAATCGATTTCATTGTCATCTTAGCTTGTACCTCACTCTTAAATGCGAACATCGAGACTCGTTCAAACGAGAATAAAACCCAATAACATTTCATCAGTTTCTATTGTAAAAACGCGCTGCTCATAAAGAGGGAAAACTCTAGAAAATTCTCCGTACGATTGACAATAGTTCATGTTCGAAAATGTATTCACTTCTTCTCAGCCGATCAAATTACACGAAGCTTTCCTCAATTTACTCGAGCAATGCATCTTAATATTAATCTTTGCTTGTACGGTACCTCCATCTCAAATTTGAAAGGAACGCTCTTCTCCGCATGAAAACATATGAGTGAGTAGAACGGATTCCGATTTTGGGAAATGGCAATTTCAGAGGAACAAGGATGACAGGAAATGGCGAGTTGAAAAAATACACGAACTGGAAATAATTAAATCTTCCTTGGATTGCGCGGAACTTGTTCGGGAAAGAAAAGTCATCGAACTCCCGACAAAATGCAAATCTCTCAAGTACACGGGGTTCACTGGGACTTTATCCCAGCACCAAAAATTCCGGATCCTAAAAACATTTCAACTTGGTATGCTGAAAATCGGATTCGAGCGAAGCAGAACGATTAACCCCGGAAGGAAGAAACGAGAATTTTGCGGAACAATCGGTAAAAGACGGTTGCATAATGAAGGACTTCGAAGTAAACATGAAACTCGTCAAGAGAACAACGCAGGGAAACCACGCGAGACTGCGATCCCCATCTTCAAGCATTACAGCCTCCGAAGACCCCCGAATGGCGGTCCACGCACCGGAAAACTGAACAACAAAACGCTGCTTGAACTCGCAATTCAAAACGTGGATCAGCTGCATAATTCATTTGACACCTGGGTCGTCACGATGGCAAAAAGAACGAAGGAAATATTGTACGAAGGAATGTCCCGCCGCAAATACATTATCCGTCACAACATACAGTTGTGAACTGCTAACGGGAAGTACGTGGGGGTGGAATGCGGTGGCACCTCAAGCAATCTCAGCAAAATGTTTTCAACCTCAGGACCAGCATCAACTACCGTACTCGTGAAAACAGAACTCAAATTACTCGAAATTCAATTAACCGTGCATACATTTCAGTCGCATGAGAGGATACAAGGTCCTCATCTGATCTCAACTCGAGCCGGTTTATTCCTCTTTTTTAATTCATCCGAGGTTGAAGCGCTTCAAGATTTACAGGAAATTAAATGAAAGAGCAAAACAATATACAGTATTCGTAAAACAAACATGAGTACAGTTCATCAGATCTTTCTCGATTTGCACGTATGACATGGGTTGAACGAGAAGTTTTCTTTGGTTATCAAGGATATTGGATAATCCGAGCGACGACACCCCATCAAAACACCGGATAATTTGAGTCCTACAGCATTCAATTCGAAGTTCCCTTTTCGACTTTTTTTTCGCAAACCAGTGTATTCGCGGGAAAAAAATGTCCCAAAATTTACGGGGTCTCATGTTCGATGGCTCCAGGGATTAAGGTGAAAATTTTTGTTTTTACTGTACCTTATTTGAATTAGACATGGAGTCATTTGCTTCAAAGCAGTCCTATTGAAAGACAGTGGCTTGGCATTGAGGAATGAAGCGTCTGTATGATATTTTCAATAGGACGATTGCCGGTTCAAATTCTTTCAAGTACCGTAATTACGCTGGCTATCCACATCACCATCCATGGAGATATTAATCTCATACTTGGAACACAACTGGAAAGTATTCAATACCTTATTTATTTTCAAAACGCTCATGGATATTACCATTGTTGCTCGCTCGTACAATAATCGAACTAGTAACTGGCCAGGGAACCTGATCCTTCATTATTCATGGTCAAGGACAGGAGAGTTGAAACAAGTGTTCTAGGAGATTTAGACCGAGTAGATATTTCAAATTAGTTTGAAATGCGTGATTGAATAAGTCAAAAGTGCGTATTTTGGTCTCTTTTTTTACACGATCTCCAAAAGAGATGGAGGCACACATTAAAATCGACGGTGTCGTTTATTCGAACAAATGATATCCGAAAAAAAAATGTATTCAAATAAGTCTTCGAACAGTTCGCTGAAGTTTTCGAAATTGCTTTGTGCATGTAACTCCAGTCCCGTCTCCGGAAGAGCATCGGCGAATGTCAGACAAACGCAGGAGATATTTCCTCATGTCCGCAACAAATGTTGGTTCTTTGCGGTTGCATCAAAAGTGCGTTACCGGAATTCGACGCGGGTCCGATGCAGAATCCATTTCCCAACGCGTTGATTAATCCAGTAGCAGAGCGAATTCCTTTGAAACGCAGGGGGACGACTGATGCGCAATGTTTTCCGGCCCCGTGAATCGATAATGCTTTCCTGTTGACACGCCGCATTCACTCATTTCCAAGTCATATGATAGCAGGCCCCGAAAGTTATTAACCCATTTTGCTAGCAACAAACCAGCCCGGACTTTTCCACCTCAGAACTCATCAGAGCGTTCGAGAAGCATACTGTACTGACACGGATTCAGTCGTAAAATCTCGTACGCCGCCGAAATAATTTTGAACCACTCTCCAGGAACGCTTAGGGCATATTCGAAAGTTAATTTGAACTACTGCACCACATTTATGAGGATACAGTTCAAGTACTACATAAGAATTCTTCCGAATCAGGCTCACAAAAATCAGGGTGCGTCTTCGGTTCAATGAATTTCTCGATTCACGAGCAAAATCCTGCCCAAGTGGGATGTTACAATTGGAAAATTATCATCTGCTTATTTCATGGTACAGTACACCCGTTTCCTATTGTTCCGTTAAAGCCTTTTTAAAAATGTCAGTGCATTTCAAGTCGTTGCTGTGCTAAATACTGTCATCCAAATTTCCAAAAATTAGAAAAACGCTCAGGGATACATCGCGAATTACAGCGTGTTTTTAATTTGTGAGCAAGATTCTGCGTACAAGTTACAAAATGGAAGAGTCAAGAATTCGTGAATACGCCGCCCGTAACCAGGGAACTCTTCATTAAAAAGTGATTGGCTGGAGGTCACGATAAAAATTATTTTACAAGAATTAGCTGTCGCAACATAGAATATTAGATTGAGCTGTAGTCGAGTGCATTATTGAGGAAGCAAATAAGTGATTTCAAAGTTTCCGAACACGAAACTCCATCAGTGACGAAAATTTTGGAAATGTTTAAAGTTCTGGGATGGTAGAATAAAAGCGGTTTTGGTCACGGTGACGCTAAGCCAGACGAGCTCCTCGCCCAGGTCTCTGATAGTGAAATCACGATTTCTCTGCACGCCGAAAATTTAGGGCTCAAAGAACATTCTATCACGAAAGGTCCGTGACGAAACGACCGCGAAAGCCCGAAATTACAAAATGCAAGATCGGATGAAAAGCACACAGAAAGGCTCGGATCACGATTGCGAATTCAACCACGCAATTTCCATTCGCACTTTCGGGGTGAAAGCAAGACAGACGTGGACCTGCGAAAGCGCGTTCGCTCCATTGTGTGAAAAGCACGAAAACAGTTTTGTATACCCGGTGAGTGGAAAAATGGCGAGACGAGAAAACCTCACCAGTACCTGAAGCAGAGGGATGATGTTCATGATTTGCTTGGACCTGGTTTCTTGCTGGTTTTATCATCATTCTCGGGAACTAGAGGTGCGAAGTGGCGAACTGTGAAACACTTCCTGGATCGCGAGTGGGTTAGAAAACAGGTAGGCGTGGATCGCGTGTCGAAATAAAATCGCTCATCATGCAGGGCCCATCGTCATGTTCAAGGCCCGAGGCCCGTAAGTAATTCAGGTCGGATCTCAACGCGTCTCTGCCCTCCTTCGCTCAAAATCTATGCGTATGGCAAACGAAACGCCCAACACCTTATCACGAAACCTATTGTGTTTACAACTCCGCGAAGACAGGTGAAGCTTCATTCTTGACCATTCAGCTCAGCAAATTATCTTCATGCTTATGGAACAATCCGCGACTGACCGACAATGACACGAAAAGCCGTCACTTGCAAACTGTTCGAAATGGGAACATCCTGATCCTGGTTCCAGGACCGGAAATAGAATACTACAATTACATAAATGAATAAAGGCCACCGCGCAAAAACAGCTGCCAAATGCATTACAGCGCGAATAAGCACGTTTCTCCCACAAAAGAAGTTAGCCAAAAATATAAAATACATGCATAAACAAATGAGAATCGGGATAGTTCAAGTCCCGGAGTTCTTACTGAGTTCCTACTCATGAAATATAACAATGGTGTTCTCGGTAAGACAAATGAATGATTTTGGAGAAGTGCCTGATTCTGACGAACCATGTCTCGGAAAATTCCGGTGCCAATTCATCGGCTTGTCGCATTTTTTGCTTAAGAACTCAAAATTTTCGGCTTATTTGCTGATTGTTA